ATCCAGAAGTGCTGTTTAAAATGTTAAAGCACAGAGATCATAAGGGCAGTTTATGTTTGTGTGATTCTGCTACATATGTGCAGAATCATTTGTTTATTTATGTATGAACGATTTTTAGCTTTGTAGATTCGGTGTGGTTTGGTCATCACTGAAGCCTCTAAACAATTTACTTGACATTCCATCTCACCCTTTACCTATGCTGAGTTTCTATAGCTTCACTCTGCAGAAATGACAGGAATGCTCTCATGCTTGTGTCCCAACACCTGTTGAGTAGGAGGTATATTTGCATATTGTGCATGAAGTTGAACTGATGGAATACTTTGAAGGATTTTCTTTTCATACTCCAAATTATATACAATAGTTCTGGTCCTGGTTGCCGATTGGCATTTCAGTAAAGCACTTTAGGCATATTGTGATTTATGTACAATTATGGTTGTGTATAGCGTGTGTGTGTGTGATACACTGTTGTTCAAAAGTTTGGGATCAGTTGTATTTTTCTCTTATGCTCTTCAAGTCTGTATTTATTTGATCAAACAAAAAGAAAAAACAGTAATATTGTGAAATATTATTGGAATTTCTAATATTGGTTTCCTATTTTAATTTAAAATATAACTTATTTCTGTGACGCAGGGCTTAATTTCCATCAGCCATTACTCCAGTCTTCAGTGTCACATGATCCTTCAGAAATCATTCTAATATGCTGATTTATTATCAGTGTTGAAACTATTGTGCCTCTTAATGTTTTTTTGGAACCTGTGATACTTTGTTCTTTGATTCTTTGAATAAAAAGTAAAAAAGAACAGCATTTATTCAAAATAGAAATCTTTTCTAACAATATAAGTCTAAACTATCACCTTTTATCCATTTAACACATCCTTGCTGAATAAAAGTATTAATTTCTTTGAAAAAAGAAAGAAAAATGTACTGACCCCAAACTTTGACTACATTTTTACAAACCCCACTACTTTGAATAGTAGTGTATATTGTAACACAACATTTCTATTTTGGATAAACACTGTTCTTTTTAACTTTTTATTTATCAAAGAATCCTGAAAAATAGTATCACAGGTCCCAAAAAACATGAAGCAGCACAACTGTTTCCAACATTGATTATAAATCAGCATATTAGAATGATTTCTGAAGAAAATTGCAAAACACTGACCATAAACTTTAAAACTGTATGTTAGTTTATTTATTTATTTTGCTGTTGCATTTAAAATCCACTTGGCTCATGCCACTTCTGATAACAATAATAGTAAATTATTTAATAATAAGAGGCGTTCAACTGTTCAGTAGCAAAATAAATCAGGAAAACATCACAGTGATGCATTATAATGTTAAATTATGCTCTCTCTTTGTCCCTGTCTCTGTAGTGCTGTTGCATGAGGAGGTGGTGCGTCTGCAGGAGGAGGTGTCAGTGCTGAAGCAGGTCAGGGAGATGTTGAATCGTGAGCTGGAGGAGACGGGAGGAGGCTGCTCTGTGGAGCTAGCCAGCGCTATTTTGAAATAAACAACAGACTTACAAGCCCAAACCCCTTGCTCAGTGAAAACAAATACGACAAATACGGATATTATGGAAAGCGTGCTTGATTAATTTATT